AAAAGCCATGTACGACAGGACGTAAGGTGCCGTCTGCATGGACTGACGGGGGTACACCCTCCTCCTCCACCATCGGGGGAACGGGTGGCCAGAACGACCGAGAACCTCGTGAAGATACAGTGTGATGGTATCCCAAAGGGGGATATACGCTCTTGGCACGAGCTTATTGAAAAACACATCCCGGTTGAGACCACTTGGCTGCAGCGACCCTTGCTGCGATTGCACTCTGACAACGGGGGAGAGTCCCGCTACTTCGACTGCGCCCTGCTCCGGGAATATACGGACGCCGAGGAGAACCAGGTGACCCGGGAACTGCAGGAAGCACGAGACATGGAACGGCTCCGAATGCGTGCAAAAACACTCTTGGCTCAGTATCTGGAGCGGGGAAAAAACCCCAGAAAACTCATCATGAACCTCGCGTACGACCCGTACAGTGCCGACGTGCTATGGACAGAAGCCAACGAGCGCTGGGGGAATGTGATGCTGGACAGCCTGACGGCAACAACCCAAGTTCAGGAGGTGCTTGCTCTATGGGACGAAGCGGGGGATGTGGAGGCAGTAACGCCACCCCTGCCGCCGACCACGGGGGAAACCCTCGACGTGCCCTCAGGTGCCAGTGCGCCAGTGACTCCAGAATGGCCACAGGAACGTACAGCTCGTGTCTGGGGGGGAATGGCAGCAGACCCACAAGTATATCAAGGGCGCTGGAAACCCGCCTGGAAAATCTGGGCTAAGCTCAAGTGGCGCTCGGAAAGACGACAGCGCCGACAGCACGTGGCCCGAGCACATGGGCGAGAACGTGCGAGGTGAGAGCCGTGACTGAGGTAGAAAATTCGTGAAAGCGGGGGAGTGCTTCAGGTCCGTACTTCAGGGGGTATTTTTGTTACTTCGGCTGGTTCTCAGTTTTTCGCATGGTTCCTACTCCTTGTCGGGGGAGTTGCATTCGCTCAACCCATAGGTACCTTTTCAATGACAGCTCCGGCTGTCTTGCGCTCCGAACTTTTTCTAAACTTCTGAGACCCCCCCGGGGGAACACTCTCCGAGAACTTGTATCATAGCCTTCGGGCCTTTACTCCGTCATCGTTAACCTCGCTCAAATGCATGTGGGGTCAGTTTGTAGAGATAGCTAAATTCGTCCGACAACAAACTTTTGCATATCTCTTGAACTGTCACCTGACACCCATGGTCAAACCATGCTGAGACCTCCGGGGAACTGGCAACACACATGTTATTGCCTTTAGGTCCGCTGTAAGTGCTGTTCTCATTGCTTTACATGGAAACCGGAGGTCCACGAAAGATGCCATGTTTATTCCTTGAGTGCACTAGCGGGGGAAGCTACTTTCTACTGACTGTACCTTTGCTTTCCTCCGCATAACTTTGGAAACATGAAGGAAGGGGGGGAATCAACTTTCTGTTCCGTCTTTCCGCTACAAGCCACCCCTCCTTCATGTACCGTTGTACCTCCCGAAGTCATCTCTTTGAACGAACCCCTTACGTTATCTTTGTCATATATACGGGGGAAAGAGAGAGATGACCTTGCATGTGTGGAACTGAGAGTCGAAGATTACAGTTGCCGTTATCGTATGCTATATGGCTTTAGCCGAAACTGTATTCACGACTCGTTCTTCACCCCTCACACCCGTTAAAACAACGGGGGGGCCATTGGCCCGAGGGCGTTGACCCGCCCTCATGCCCGGGAGAGAGAGAGAGAGAGAGAGAGAGAGAGAGAGAGAGAGAGAGAGAGAGAGAGACAGAGAGAGAGAGAGAGAGAGAGAGAGAGAGAGAGACAGAGCGAGAGCGAGAGTGAGAGAGACGGAGAGAGAGAGAGAGAGAAGAGAGAGAGAGAGAGAGAGAGAGAGAGAGAGAGAGAGAGAGAGAGAGAGAGAGAGAGAGAGAGCGAGAGAGGCAGAACAGTGAGACCAGGACTAAGAGCGGCACCCCCTGCCGCTGGCGGATCTTCGCCTTAGCAAGCGGCACCCCCTGCCGCTGGCGGATTTCCCGCCAGAGATGTGTCTGTTTGGGGTGGGGGGCCGTGCGTGCATGGGCCGAAGCATCTGAGGTTCCGGTGCAGAAACTCCGACACTGGCGCTGGACATGCTCAGCGAAGCTGCCGTCGGTGCCAAGAAGTTTCAGCTGGTGTGTCTTGATTGCAGATTGATCGCCAAGTTGCACGATGTGGTGTCAGTGTCAGGGTAACCGTCAGGGTATTGTGAAATGATGAACTTAGGTCTGCCTGCGACTATGCCAAAGGGCCGCAGAAGTGGATTCAGCGAAATATGCCCGGTGTCCCGTGACTTGTTAGCATCATGAGTCCCAGTCCTCGAAATACATCCTAACTCCTAACCTAAGGCGTCACTTGCTGTTACTGTTTCTAGACACTGAGGATCGCAAAGGATCTTTTTGGACGAAAGCTGGGGCATCTTGCTGGCAAGGCCGCTTCTCTGGACCCGCATCTTTCGATGGGCATCCTTTTGGCATGAGTTTGGTCTTGGTTGCGAGGTCGCGGTGTACGTTGCAGGATTCCCCTGCAAAGCTTTCTCGTTGCTGAGACATCAGACGGATCTGCTAGATGACCCCGAAGCCCGACAGTTTTTCGCTTGCCGCGACCACATCCGAAAACTTCAACCACTGGCTCTTTGTCTGCATTGAATACAGCCTGCGGTGCCACTTGACACTTAAGGCCATGAGTACCTTCCGATTTGCTGATATTTGCTTTCATGCTGAGGTATGTATCCTGGAGAATGTGAAAGGCCTGGGCCGGGTGATGGACAAGGTGCTGACCTCCGATCATGCTCATCTGCCATGTCAGGCTCCAATATGTTGCAACCAAGGTGCTGAAGCACTTAAAGAAGTGCGGGGACTATGGGATCAAGGTGTGCGAGATCGACCCGCTGCTCGGCATTGGCTAGGTCGGGGTGTCAAGGCTGCGAGGCGGTAAATTGGAGTCGAGTCTGAGGCTGGACTATGGAGGGGTCGGCAGTCGCGATCGCTACTACATCATCATGATCCACAAAAGTGTGGCAGTGAAAAAGTTTGAGAAAAAGATCGACGAGACCCTTACGAAGCTCCGATGTGAAAGCACCGAACCTTGGAATCTTGCTTGCAACCTGGAACCATGTGCAGTTTGCAGCATGATGCGTTTTTGTTTACAGGATGTCACTTCTGCTCGACGACGAGTCCGAGCCTGTCAGGGGTCACAAGCGCAAACGCTTCGAGGAAAACGTGCCACCCCTGATCTCCAGGCGGGCCAATCTTGGATGCTGTCGTGACTCTGAATAATAATAAATAAATAAGCCGTCCCTTCGTGGTTCCAAGGAAGCCAGCTCCTGGAGGAGAGAAGTGGAAGGAAAAGCTTTGGAAATTTTTGAAGGAGAAGAAGGCCATCTGCAGCAGAATCAGTCTTTCGATTATGCATGCATACATACATCGTTTGTTTTTTGAATGCTACCGGGCAGGTGTCTGCCAAAGATGCCTACGAAGCGGGATGGAGGAAAGTGCCGGGCCTCGGCGACCTACCTCTTTCGACGCGCCAGATGCATGGGCTCCTCGCTCATTGCGCTTTGGAGCCGGATTGGGTTTGCTTGGACGTGTCGCAGAGTGTGGAACGCATGCGCGCCATCAAAGCAAACCAGCAGCTGGGTTGCAACAAGTGCTGCATCCATGTTGTTTATTATGTGTATTCTGAGTTGGAATGGAACCCGAGGCCGTTCTGCTGTGTCACGCAAGAGCCTTATCTTCCGAAGCATCATGCAAAACATCATGTCAAGTATCGTGTGAGTGCACATTTCCAAGGCCTGGCGGAAGTTTCGTCCTGGCAGCTGGGCGGATGATGTCCAGACAGCCCCTCAGATCGCGGATTCATGCTTGGTTCTCGTGTTGGCCTTCCCCTTACAGGTGAAGAGTTGATGTTGCAGCAGGGCTTCCCGCTGCACAAACTCGATCTGGGAGCCAACACTTCCCAGGCACGATGCCTCTTGTTAACAGATTGTTGTTGCATCATGCCTCAACACAGGAATTGGCGAAGCTTGCTGGCAACAGCATGCATCTCCGTGCCATCGGGGTTGCCTTGTGCGCCTCGTTTCGAGTCCGGGCCCTGGTTTCTGAGCTTAGGTGTTTCAAGGAAAAGCATATTAGCTGAGGCGCTGGATGTCAGCCGCTTCGTGCAAAAGACAAACAAGATGGTGGGCTGAAAAAGATGCGGCTCTTTTCGAGTCCGGGCCCTGGTTTCTGAGCTTTGGTCTTTGAAGGAAAGACTTATTAGCTGAGGTGCTGGATCCATGACGGCCGACTATTTGCTTAAGAAGCCCCAAAAAATAAAAAATACGAATCCTTATATTATCCCTATAAGGAATATATTAATAATACTAATCCCTATATTATCCCTATAAGGAATATATTAATATAAAATACTAACCCCTATATTATCCCTATAAGGAATATATTTTTAATTTTTGGGGGTTCTTAAGCAAATAGTAGCGGCTGGTGCTTTGGACAAGCAAGATGTCGGTCTGAAAGATGTGAAGAGACATGGCTTGTGGGATGCAGCTGGACCCTGGCCATGGCGCGAAAATATGAACGACGGACTCTCTCAGACCTGTTATCATGCTCAGTTGATGCCGCAGGGATAGAGACACTTGAAAGCACCCCCGGTGAAATCCACTGCACATATGGGCTCAGTGCATTTTTTGGGGCGCTAGGGCTCCTGCCTCTGATTCATGATGGCAAGCCAGCCGGATGAGACGATGCCCGATGCGGAGGGGCCCGATGCAACTCGTTCGGATGTATGTTCGGTGCGGGGTGCAGTTGGTGCTGCCCATGCTTGCTCAGGATCAAAGAAGCCATGCTGCAGCTGTGGAAGCTGTAAACACTTTCTTCGAAAGTGCACCTTTGCAGAATCTTGCAAATTTGAATCGCAGTGAAGGTCGACGGCCATCTGCTGCTTGTTATTTCGGTTTAAGGTCTGCGAGAAGGAGAACCCTTGCGCGTGGATGTTCCGGACAATGGCCTCCAAAGAGGTCTTCGCGGGGGCATCTTGATTGGTTTTAATATGATTTGCAAACCTGCAGACACCAGTAGCTTGCAATGTTGTTGACATGCTCTGTATCTGTCAGGTCATAGATCACTATATGAGTGAGGGGCGTGGGCATACCCGTTCGCCCTTGTCGCTGGTGCCCCGCGAGAACATGGAAGCCTTCTACCTGCCCCTGAGCTGCTTTGACTACTCCACAGACGGCAAGAACGGTCGCTTCTTGCCATGTGTTCATTGTTGATGTGCCCTGAAGCAAGGATTGCGTTAGTGGGAGAATTAGTGTGAGTGTGAATCGCGATGCGCTTGCTGAGACTTCCCACACCAGAGCCAGCTCCGTGCGCATTTCTTGTCCTTCATCAGCCAGGGCAATGACAGCAGGGAGCCCGTGGCTGTGAGGTTCGAAGCAGTGGAAACCGGAGGGAATCGACAGATCCACCCCCATGGCTTTAACGTTCGCTTCGTGGACGGCCAGTGCAAAGTCCTGATCATGCAACTGGCGGTGTGCATCGCGCACAAGCTGGGCTTGGAGAAGGACGTGCTCAGGACATTGCCGTCCTTTGCTATGGTTCTCTGCTCGCACACCAAGCACGCATCCCTGGCAGCCTACCACTACGATGCTCTCCGTCTCTTCGCTGTGTTGAGGGGTTGGCCTTGTTGAGATTTGTTGAGGTTCATGTAGCGAAAAGCAAAGTTCGAGAGTTCAAGACAGAAGAAGATCGAGAGGGTGACAGCAGAGGGAAAAGACACAAACCAGGGGGCAGCTAACCTGACAGGCTTGGGCGCCCGGCTCCTTCCGTGCGATCCTCAGCAGGCACTACGACTTTTACCCGCACTCCTCCTCAGGACTGGGGGGTGGGCGGATAGAGAACGAGAGACAGGGAGAGACAGCGAGGGACAGGGCCCAAGCCATGTTGCTGCTGCTGCCGCCTGTTTCGTGTCTCGTTGCTACTGGCCATCTTCAGCTTCAGTGCTCTCTGTGTGTGCTCCTTACGACGCAACACAGCCCCGATCCCTAAATACGGCCGATGAAAATGTAATAAAGACACCACCACCGACCTGTATCATCATTGGTTGGAATTTATTTGGCACATGCCATACATATCCTTGAACCCAAAACCTGGACCCTGAACATAAAATTCTTAGTCTTGAACCTAAACCAAAATACTTCGCATATCAACGACACCAACTCTTGCCGAAGGCTGTAACCTGCTGACACCCCGAGCCTCACAAAACCCAGCTGCCCCTGAACCCATGGGATCCCATGGACATTCATGGGAAAGTGGCGTTGCGATGACGCTAGCGACTCGCAGCCTCGAAGCCGTTCTCCACTGGCGTGGCGAAGGTTCGATGCAGATGCCCGATCGTCTGGCCAGTGTGAATCCGAATCCGGCGAGTCCGAATCCGAAACGACTTCGAAGGAGGCTCGCAACGCTCGTCTTGAAAGTTATATAACCAATTATTTAACGCGGACGCCAGTTTGATATTTCCAGACCATGTGCTCATGTGAGGCTGCCAGCAGCGGCAGCTGCAGCAGCAGCTCGACAAGCAGCTCCGTTATGGTTGCAGAGTTAAACCTGAATTATATGCACGCTATGCAGACGCTGGATGGAGCACAGGACGAGAGCGTGTATGCCGCCCGTGGTAAGAGTCGCAAGCGCATCAAGAAGGTTCTTGCTGGGAAGTCAAACTCGGGATGCCGGTGCAGAAGGAAGCCTATTGGCAACCAAACATTATAGCCATGTGTTGTGTTTGCATATAATTAGTACATGCTCATTATTGCTAACGCCTGCTTATGTCCAGCAAGTCGTGGTGCAAGCTATGATTTGGAACTAACTTGAGGTGTTGGAAGCTCATAACGTTTCGCAAGCTCCTCGCATTGTGCACCGCGTTTTGGACACTCAGCAAAGCTGGTCAAGACCTTTTGCTCTGGTCAGCGCAAAATACCTGTTATGGAGATGAAGACGATTCGGACCCGTCCGACGATGAGGGTCCTTGGCAGCAAGGCCCTGGCCCTAGGGCGGACAAGCAGCAGTGGACGATTTGTGGCGTCTCGATTGCATAAAGCTTCGAATCATTCGGTGGAGTGCGTGCCAAAACTTCATATCACTTCCAATCTCCCAGGTGTCCGCGTTTGCCGACGAGCCTTCGCTCGGATGATGGGTGTGAGCCAAACCAGGCTACAAAGAGCGCGGCACCGTTACCGGGGCCTTGACGAAAGGACTTTGAGAAGCGCCTTGGCCCCATTGTCCTTGTTCGAGTCAGACGATATGTCGGATTCGCCCGCGGGAACTGTGAGGCCATAACGCAGGAAGACCGAGTCTGGCATACACCAGTGTGCACACCTTCTTCAAGCATCTGTATCATTCGGTGGCCGAATTCAACCCGGTCGGGTGACTCGTCTTTCCTGGCAGGGTTTCCGTGAACAGGAAGACACACTTCTCAGTTGGTATTTTATGACTAGTATGTCCAGTAATTGACCCAAGACTTACCCTCCAGAAACTTCGATCAGAGTAACGTCCCAGTTGAATCCCCGCGTGACTTGTGCTTCCTTGCAGGGTTTAGTTCTGAAGGTATCCGTCAACAGGAACCAAACCCACCACGATAAGAGCAAACCATCAGAGCCCAAACCAGACCCCGGGATTGCTTCAGGCTTGTCCGCAAATCGCTGACCCCCGTGGAGATGCGACAGCAAATAATGGGGAAGCTTTTACATTCAGCGTTAGGCAGAGAGCATGCAGAGCCGGAGACGCTCGCTTTAAAGATGCTGCCGCCGGGGCGTTGGAGCCACATGTTTCAGCTCTACGTATCGAAATGCATCTCGATGAACGAAGCAGCCGCGTCGAGAACGACCTTCTATCAAGTCTGCCGCCGTTGGAGATGTTGTTTGTCTCTCCGTGCGAGGAGCCAACATTCCATTTGCCTGGTGTGCGATAGACTTCGTGCTCGGCTGAGGGCTGCGAAAGACCTGCATACCCATATGCAGGTCTGTGAAGAGCTCCTGGAGCACCTGGGTATGCAGTGGCGATGCAGGCAGCGCTACTGGGAAGCCCGGGAACGCTCCAGGAAACACGATGACCTACTGTGTATGATCATCGACGGGTTTGACAAATCAAAGCCCGTGGTCCCGCGCTGGACATCAGGCCGACCTCCCAAAGGAGGTGTATTTGAGCGGGTCCGCCGGCCGGGGCTCAGCATAGCGTGCGTTTTGGCGCATGGCTTCGCTGTGCATATCTTTGTGGCTTCTGAGGAGACGCCAGACAATTCTTCGTGGACGTGGGAATGCCTGTCTCGAGCTCTTCAAGCCACTCACGAGCATTGCTGCAAACAGAACTGGCGCTTCCCTTCGCAGCTGTGGATTCAGGGGGACAATACTGTCCGCGAGCTAAAGAACCAGCAAAGTGCTCTTTGTTCAGCGATGCTGCTGTCTGCAGGACGGGCGGTCTTCTGAGTGAAGTTTCGGACGTTTCCAGTGTCTGATTCGATCTGATTGAGTGAAGTCCTTCGACATGCATTGTGCATCATATGGTCCCTGGTCAGGATGCTTTCGCCAGGTTGGTGTGCACCACCTGCCCATTGGGCACACTCACGAAGATGTTGGTCGCTGTGCTGCAATAAGACGTTTTGGGTGACATCTAGGTGGCAAGCTTCCGGTTTCACGAATTCACAGTACAGTTGAACAGAAACTAACGGAGCTTTGGAATGAACCCCGTGCTGAGACGGAGTCTTTGCGGCTGTGGCTGAGCTGATCACATCGGCTTCCGACGAGGTGCAAACACGCGCAGACGTGGTGCGGTTGCTGCAGGACCGCATGGCAAAACTTGCCTCGGATCGAGGCGAAAAACTTTTCGTGCACTGTGTCGATGCTGCGCTTCGCTGTCAACATTAATCGTTCTGTGCTGTATTCTTAGAAATTGTACAAATCTGTCAGCTTTTGTTCCCAAAACATCAGTCAGCAGTAAACCAATCCGTGTTCAGCTCCAAGGTACGGCCCTTCAAAAAACTTCTTCCTGACATCGTGTCGCTCAACAATGCGTTTAAAGAGCGTGGGCCGTAGGATGTTGACAGGAAACTGGTCCCGCAGTCTTTCACGCGTCTTAGCCGCACATCCCGAAATTCACCTTGTTCTTCCAAGTGTTACATGGGGACTGCGTGTGAATCGCCAATTGTGTGGGTTCTGCCGACACGAGGTACAAAGCAAGGTTGAACATGACCCCGGAAGAGCTCGACTTCTGCAAGCAACGTTTGCCTCCGGGTGTACGGCAATCCCCGGGCGACATCTTCTGTCTCCTGAAAAAAAACCTTTGCGATGATGAGTACTCGTCTGGGGTGCTTATATTTCCCGGTGCTTTCCGTGACAGGGCTGAGAACATGATCAATCAAGTCCTGGACCATCGTGGAGAGACTTTCCAGATGGACGATGACCGGAAGGATTCATGAGGGGACGACAGTCGTGCAAATTCATTAACTTTGACGTTAATGCGGCCTTGATTTTATAAGCCTAAACCCTGAACCCTCTCAGTCAACTTGAACTTAGACTTGTCAATTCAACGTTGGCAAGTGGATTTGCCACAATTTTCCAGCTAAGTCTTGACAGGAAGAGCTGACCGAGCTGGCAGATGCCCTGAGAACGGCCTATCCTCACTACGGCCGGGCTGTTCACTACATAGCTCAAATAACAGGTCGTGCTTCGCTGGCGAGAGTTCCCGCGCCTCGCCTCACCTTTCTGCAGAGTTTGGCCAATCGTCCCTCGACTGAATCTCAAGCAGTATGTTGCAGACGCCATCCCTTGCATTTGTGCTGTGCAACGAGGCTTCTCGGTGCACGGACAACGTGCACGAAACCCCTCGAACATCTTCCACAAGTCGAAGCCCTTCAGGCACGGATTCATTCAGGGAATCGCGCCTTGGATGAATTTACCGGCCAATTGGTGCAGTGGCCTATCGGAAAGCAACATGTCCTCGCATTTGTTTTGCCGAGGAGATGCTGCCCCGCAAGGACATGTTCAAGCCTACTGACAGGGGTCTTCTGACAACGGATGTCATGAGCGACAGTCAGGAACAGAGGCAGGCTTCGGCAGATTAAACAGTAATGCATGCGAAACATAACAAGCAAAAACATAGTTGCATAATAGTTTGATGAATAATCATAATAACAATAAATAGTAATAATAAAAAATATAAGCTCCTGAACCCGTATAAACCCTAAACCCTAAGCATTTTTGGTATTTTTTGTTATTGATAGCAGTAAACAACAGTTATTATCTTATTATTATGATTATAGTGGCAGGCGGCACTGCAGGCCGCCGGCGGTGCTCTCCGCCGATTACACCCTAAACCCGAATACTTAACAGGCCCCAAACCCTTTATAATTCCGGTAATTTTCTTCTATTCTCGCTCGTCATTTGTCCTTCTATCCAACCTCAGGCAAGTCAGTGCCGGGACATCCTTCATCAGGGAAACTATGCGTGCCTTGCTGGAGAAGCTTCCGTCGGTGAAGCGAGTGGCCCTGGTGGATGCCTTGGGCTACGACGGATCCGTTCCTCTGGCTGTCTTGGAGGACCGGCCATGAGTTGGTTAAGGGTTTAGGTTCAGTGCGTTTACGAGTGAAGTGATCCAGTCCAGGAGCAGGCGAAGGGTGCGGATTGGAGCTCCGTGACCATCGCGGACACAAAGATTGCCAATTTGATCGAGGGGAGGGTGCGGGAGCAGGCCTACTCACTTGCCCGCACAGGTACCCTTAGCCTGCCAGGCTTCCCGAACTTTGATGCTTTGACTGCCGGCCTCCGAGAGACTGCGGGGCCGACGAACCTGGATGCGGCTGACTTCAAGGTCACAAGGCCTCTACCAGACGGCGACCTGGCTTTGGTGGAAAGCTTCTACAAGAAGTTCGAGGGCTTCGACGACATATCCGAAGACCTTCGCACTGCTATGGAGGAGCACGACAAGAAGTACAACCCGCAGAAGAAGCGGGTGCGCGAGGATGCGGGCACAGATGAGTCGGAGGACTCTGCGGCTAAGCGGATCAAGCTCGTGGAGCACGAGGAGCCCCTCACGAGCAAGGACATCGCCGAACTCCAGAATCCGTTTCTTTGTATGTATTAATTTGTATTCTTTAATTTCATCTATACGTCATCATTGTGAAACTTTCTGTGACTCAGATTACTGACTCATTGCTTCAGGTCGGTTCTGAACGTGAGCGGCACTGTTCGCTTCATCCACGAGATGGAAAGTGGTGACAAGATCTGGGCGGAGGTGGACGAGGCGACGACCTTCCTTTCCGGCAAGTTGATTGCAAGCTTTGGCAGCGGCACCTTCATGGATGGCAAAGATGCCGCGAAGACGCTGGACTCTTGGATTGACATTTATTTCGAATGGTTGCTTTGAGTTGGGGGTTCAGGGTCCTTGAGGGGTCGATGCTTCCATGAAATTGCGCCTTTCCAGGCAGAGATCGGCAGCGAGGACGACGGCGGGAGACTGTTGAAGTTCCATTTGGACTTCGACAGCCTGTTGATCTTGGAGAAGAAGAAAATCGCGTCGCACCTCGCGGACCTGCCCTATCTTGATAAGCCGACGCCGGTGAAAACGCTTCTCAAAGCCATGGAGGACCATGGGGAGGCGACTGTGAGAAAACCCACCGGTGAGTGTTTGATTTTCTGGAATTAGCTTCATTGACATGTAACCCTTACCCCCATGTCAATTAAACCTAAACCGTAAAGCCTTAAACCCGAAGACACACCGGACCATGAATTGCAAGGCAAAGGTGCAGATCAGTCACCACGAGGTGAACCTTGCGGAGAACTTGATTAACGAAAAGGACCTTCTCCTTTTCGTCTTGGACAGCCTCGAAAGAACGGGCAAGATGATCAAGAAATCCAACAAGAAGAAGAATCAGGACACCCGGATTCCAATTAGTTGCGCCGTTCCCCCATCCACCCGGTGAGTGTTTTCGTGTGGGTGATATGTATAGACATATAATCTTAATCCCTATAATCCCATGTCAATCAAACCCAAACCCTAGACCCTTAAACCCCAAGACACACAGAACCATAAATAGACTGTCGGTTGTTCCTGCTACAGGCGGTGCCTGCCCTTTCGTGGGGTCGAACACTCGACATCGCGAAGCTGAAGCAGTGCGAATCCTTGGGCATTGCCTGGCACGTCCGGTACGATCGAGCTGCCGAGGATTCGTGGGCCCGCCTGATTCCCTTGCGGCCCGCGCTCGTTCTGAAGGGCCTCTTCGATGTTGAGCCGGGTGTCTACCAGATCATGTAGGTGCTCAGTGCTAGGTGCGGAGAGCGGAAGCAGGCTTCACGTGTATCATCGGCCTCCACAGGCCCATAAGACTAAATAGCAACTCTTCAAGACTTGGTTCTGAGTGAAGCCATGCTGGGGAAGGCTCTGTCGGCCGTTTTGCCACGACGGCGCTCCTTTAAACTCGAAAACCTGCTGGGCCTTGCACTCCATCTGTTTGACAATTGACTATAAGTGAGCCGGCGGAACTGGCAATAATGCAGTTTTCGGCTCAAGTCATGTCGTCTGCCTCCTCGGAAGAAGCTGTGGAATACGTGCCCCCGCGCCCGCATCCGGCGACATATAGTCGGCCACAGTTCAGGCTGGAAGACTACACGTCCAGTCTTACAGCCAAAAACACGGGGCCGAGCGGAAGCGGCCGGGCAGCGGGGGCCTCTCGCGACCCCCTGCCGGAGTACCGCAGGGAGGAAGAAGAAGAAAGAAAGAAGCCGAAGGCGGCGCCGAAGACGGCGAGAAAAAAGAAAGGAGTTAAAAAAGAAGAAGAAGAAGGCTCGGAGTCCAGCGAGCCTTGCACGGACGACGCAGACTCAGACGAAGACGAAAACGACGAGGACGACGACGTGAAGTCCAAGAAGAAGAAGAAGCCGCAAAAAAAACCGGCTGGCAAGACCTCGAAGAAGGAGACAAACAACAGCCGAAAGAAGACGAAGAAGGAGAAGGAAAAGAAGAAAAAAAAAAAACGCCAAAAAAGTCCAGCGGCAAGAAGAAAGGCCGTGCAGAGGCTCGAATCCGCGGGGTGGGCCCATCACATGGGTGTCGGTGAGGGCTTCGCCGTCTGTCAGGGCCCAGATGATGCGCAGACAGAAGAGGACGGATGTTTTCCCCGAGCCCCTGTGATAATGCTCAATCAAGTGACCAGGAGCCATTTCTGGACGAGGTGGCTGCGACTTTGTCCGGCGAGGAGCCGAATCAAAGAGTGAGAAGGTCCCGGCGCGAACTGAAGATTGCCAATTGCCAGGACACCCAGAGTCTGGCCAACCTGGCTTCAGCAGACGAGGTTTCCATGTTCTCCCATCTAGATCGTGGTGCTAGGAACAACATAAAGGTGCTTAGTCTGAGCAAAAGATTGTTACTTGTCATTGTGCATTTTATCAGAATACTGTAAGTCAATTCCTCTAAATACCTTGAAACTCTCGAAACAAATACCGGCGCATGTACCGCCACGACACCTCACTAAGCTAAGGCATCAACTAGAACAAGCCCTTGGCAAATAATGCAAGGCAGCCGTCTTGCCGACCCCCATGGAGCTTCGCCGATCCTTGAGAATGGATTTTGATACAGCGGAGGACATGCCTTCAAATTTGGATGAGGAGTCTTGGTGCTGCCGGTGCCCCGCTTCAGGACGACGTGGTGCGAAACGACACCCAAGAGGCACTTGCCAACAAGGCTACGACGATGTTTTTCCTTTGTTCATTCATGTCAGGAAGAATCCTTCAAAGCAGACACCTCTGATGTGCTTCGGAGCCTCTCCACGACAGCTCCCGAGGACATGGCTTGGATGATGGGTGTTGCTGTTACTGTTACCGTGCCCCGCTTCAGGACGGCATGCTTGAGGATGGCACACAGGATACACTCGCCCACCAGGCTACCGTGAATCTCTGGCCTGTGTTCAACCGTGATTTTTTTTACCTGTGTTCATGTCAGGACTCAACCCCAATGGCGGCTTCAAAGGACACGGTTTGGATAGGTTTGGAGCAGAGGTCTCGGTGTTGCTATCATGTGGTGCCCTCTTTGAGGACGACATGGTGCCAGACGGCACGCAGGCACTTGCCGTGAACCTTTCGTCTTGTGTTCAACGGTGAACTATTTTCCTGTGTTCATGCCAGGACGGGCCCAGCCCAAGTGCGGAGAGATACAGCTACAGGCCGTATCATGGGGTTCTCGCAGCGCTTGGGCGAGCTGAAGAGCAGATGCAGGCGGGGCCAATCCACAGGTAAGGGTTGAACATAGGCTCCTCGAACAATACAATGCAGGTGCTGGAAGAGTGTCTCGGGTTGATGGACAATGCAACAAAAAAAGATGCCGATTCTCAGGACGTCGGTGTATTGAACCTTTTGTGTTCAACCGTGAGTTGGTGTTGCTATCATGCGGTGCCCTGCTTCAGGACAACACGGTGACAGACGGAACGCAGAAGGCACTTGCCGACAAGGCTACCTGAAAAACATCGCGTGAACTTGTTTTCTGTGCTCATATCAGGACACATCCTTCGGAGCGGAGCTCCACCAGAATCCTTATTCCGTGACAGATCATCCGACGGACCGAGATTACATGAATGCAGTCCTGCAAGTGAACTTTTGCTTCCTGTGGACATGTGAGGATGCAGGGCGCCAACCTGAAGATCCCAACTTTACGGAGGACCTGCGAGTTAAAATTCTTGCGAGTGTAGCTCTTTAAACAGAATCATGTTGCTAAGTGTCGCGGCGTGATGGGCCCAGCATAAGTGCCGAGGACGGCAAGCCGTCCTGTGGGCTTCTCACAGCGCTTGGGCGAGCTTCAGAGCAGCTGGACGCCGGGCCGATCCATGGGTTAATAAGTTGAACTTTGTCTGCACCCCCAATGCAGGCGCTGCAAAAGTGTCTCGGGATCGTCGAGACGGCCAACGCACGTGGCGCCGGTTTTGGGGGCGCGCACTATGGCCCGGAGGATGTGCCCAACCCACGTGAGCTGGGATTTGACTCGCCTGAATCCGAGTCAGAGGTGGGCTGCACCCAAAACCCCTGAGCCCAGACCCTAAAACACCAGCCCATCAACCGCAGTCCCTAAACCCCACCCTCCCGGAACCCTAAAACCCTACATAAACCCCGCAAGCGGTCCCGATGCCGCTGGCGGCTCGCGCCGCCTACAACAAATTAGCCAGGCTGGCTCCAACGCAACAACCCTGAAGCTGGGCCAGTCACGAAAGAGAAAGGCCAGGGCCTAACTCTAAACCGTGGCTCTGTTAGGGTTTGGGGGTTGAGGGTTTAAGGTTTGGGGTTTAGGGTTTAGGTGTTGTGGGTTCATTTCGGGTTTAGGGGTTTAGGGTTTGGGGTTGGGGGTTGAGGGTTTAAGGTTTGGGGTTTAGGGTTGAGGTGTTGTGGGCTCAAGTCTTCAGGGTTTGAGGCTTTACTGGGTTGAGTGTTTTCTGATACTTTGAGGCCTTGCTGTTGCAACCTTAGTCGTGTTGCTCACAATAAAAGAGCAGTTGGTGCTGATACGGTAAAATGCAATTGTATGCACTTGTCTGTTGTTGCTTGGCTGATATTGGGCAGTGCCACACTACACCTGGTCCTGCCGTCCCCCTGCCGTTTTGAAGGCACGTTTCGGCTCATCAGGTTAGCGTGAAGGAGTCTGCTGTCATCATCGTGGTACTTATACTGCACTTAAACTTGCTCTCACGAGGATGAACGATTGGAATGAGGCTTCTCCGGTGCGAACAGATGGGCTCACGGCTTGCACGACTCCGGGCTGCTGGCTGCACTTCCAGGATCACCAGCACAGACCGCAGCACAGCAAGTGCTGCTCAATGTGTGCGGCTACGAACGGACAGCAGCACACACGCCGCTGTCGTAGACATCAACGATGGCTAGCGGGTGGGCCTGATGGCGTGCCACAGCCAAGCCAATTCCGGGTGCTACAATGTGCGACGGAGTCCTGCATCCGGCTCGCAAGCGCTGGGCATCGCACATGCTGCAGCCACTGTGGTCGTCAGGGCAGACATCGGCACCCACATTCTCGGCGATGTGACTGGCAATGGCAGCAATACGGACATGGCTTTCCCGGACGTCCGAAGGCAAATTCCACGCCGGAACAGGCGGCTCCAGTGGAGGGGAATATTGCGGACAGCCAATCGGTGCAGCACACAGCGGGCGCCAGCTCATGTTCCATCACCGCCGACGGTAGACCTGGGGAGGCGGTCACCATGGAGGTGACGGTGGACACGTACAACTTGGAGGCCCTGGACTGACGAGCTGCGGCTACAGCAGATTTTATATTTGGTCCAGCGATCACAGAATCGCCGGGCCAGAAGCTTGTCCTTGGGCATCGCAAAAGACCGTGTGCAGGGAGGAAGACAATGACGATACGACGACTACTGCTACGTTACTAGTCACTGTATACTCACCGCTTGTTTTGAGTGATTTCACAGCTAAAGTTCTTTAAATATTTTGTAGTTAGAGCAAGTGGCGCCAATGCCGCTGGCGGCTCGCTCCGCCTACAACGAGGAAATGAACGATGCGTCACCATTCCAACGCTACTTGTTTCTTTCGCCTATAAACACACGAATTTCGTGACAGGCCCGCGAGAACGACTCCGCCGACGCCGAGCAGAAGCAGGAAGATTCGAATGGAGAAGAGGCGAGGATTGGCGGTTCTTTCCCTGTGTTTCATCGGAATCAGGTTTGCTTCGGATTCGACTGCTTCGAATTTCTCCTTTGCCCCCCTGATGCGCACTTATTTTACATAGTCTCCGCTCTTTTTGTGCAGTGTGTATGATGCATCAACATTCCAACGCTACTTGCTTCTTTCGCCTATAGACACACGAATTTCGTGACAGGCCCACGAGAACGACTCCGCCGACGCCGAGCAGAAGCAGGAAGATTCGAAGGGAGAGGAGGCCAGGATTGGCGGTTCATTCCGTGTGTTTCTTCGGAATCAGGTTTGCTTCGGATTCGACGTGTTTGGGGGTTTGGGTTATTGGATGCAAGGCTTTAGCCGTTTAGAGGTTTGGATTAAAGGGTGCTTTGCCGGTTAGCTGCAGCAATGACTCAACAAACAGGGTCCATCTTAGGTCTTAGGGTGCCTTGGGGTTTGCGGGGTCGGGGGTTTGGAGGGGATAGGGGGTTTCGCATTCGGGGAAGTAGGGGTTTGGGGGTCTTAGGTCTGAGGGTTCAAGGTCCCTGTCTCTCCTGCTCTCTTTTCGTTCTTTCGTTGTCGTATTCTTTCTCTCTGTTCCGTTCTCTTTCTATCTCTGGCTCTCTTTCGTTT